TACTCAAACCTGTGCTCTGTTCTGTTTGGGGGTTTCATTGCTGTTGCTATTATAGCAATGTTATCTGATTCTAAAGTGGTCACCATGCAGATATTCACAGAAATGAAAATCTTGAAAAAAGATATACAATTATGCTCATTAAATATTTTCTGGGCATTTTAGACTCTTCAAAGAAGGAACCGAAGTGGAATTTCTGGAAGTATCTGGTCAACCCTGAGGGTCAAGTTGTGAAGTTCTGGAGGCCAGAAGAGCCGGTGGATGCCATCAAGCCTCTAATCTCACAAATGGTTGGGCAAATCATAATAAAAAAGAAAGAGGATCTGTGAAGAGGCCATGGGGGGAGGGGGGAATACAGTCCTCAGAGCAGACACATGGCTCTGTGGCACTGTCCTCAGATTGAATACTTTGACAACTAAATGGGAATTTTTATGCTAGCTTACTAGTCACGGGTAATGAATGTGCTCAGGATGCAGATGTCACCCAAGGCAAAAAAAAAAAAAAAATAGCCAAAGAACCAAAATGCAATACATTAAATCCTTCATCGGACCAAACTGAAAATGTTTGGGTACACAATCACTAATGTGCTACAACATTCTGTTGTTCAACTTGGCCTTTTCTACACTTGTACTTTATAGAAAAGCCAGAACCCAAATGCCACTGTGTGGATTTCAAGAATACTTTGTGAGACTGATATTTTTTAACAACTTACTATAAATGGCTACATTGATGTAATAAACTATAAATGTTGAAAAATGTGAAATGCATAATTTCAAATCCTTCTGTCTTTGTTTAGTACACAGGACTTTATTGGGATTTTTTCTTTATTGAAGAATTGGTCTCTACTGTTTACTCTGTCATGCTAAGTAATAATTTACCAATGTATCATAATATTTAAAAAAAGCTATGTGCCAGTGGCTCACTACTCCTCGCTACTCACGAGGCTGAGATCTGAGAACCAAAGTTCAAAGCCAGCATAGGCAGGAAAATCTATCTCCAGTTAACCACCAAAACGCTGGAAATGGAGCTATGGCTCAAAGTGGTGGAGTGCTAGCCTTGAGCACAAAAACTCAGGTACACTATTCAGGCCTTGAGTTCAAGACTAGGACTGGCACTAAAAAAACAAAAAGAAACGCTTCAACATTCAACATTTTCAACCTCTCTCTCTTCTCTGTGATCTTTCTAGAAGCACCCCAAACTCCATAAATAGAATATCAACAGTGAAATCAGCCTTGCATCTAGCCTTGTATATAGAATGTATATTTTTATATACATTCTACATATATATATACATATTCTGCATATATATACATACACACACATCTTATTTTCTGTTTGGTGAGTGCAAATATCACTTTGTGTCTTGCTGTTTAATATTTTAAAAATTAAAACAGAAAAACAAGCCTTCTAAATTCACTAAGTTTTATTTATATTGACAGGTCAGCAACTATTAAAAATAACATATGAAATTTAACCTGTAAAAAGAAGATGAAACAGTATTTACATAGGAAGAATTCTTCAACACAAAGGCTCTAAAAATAAGAGAAATACTGGGCAATTTGAAAGTAATAAAATATACCCAAAAAAACAAGCTATAGGTGCTGTTTACTCTATGTTTTAGAAATATGTCTAAATTTAAGGAAGATACACATAAAAATTATTTTACTTATGCTCCACCAGAGTATGATGTAGTTCCCATTCAGGGAAGAATTAACATACCAGACAATCAAAGTAAGTTCTAATTTGTGGCAAATGTCCACATGTGACTCAACACTTCTCACTCTGCTCCCTGAGCCAAAATGTCCTCTAATTGAATGAGAAATATTTAAGCATTTATGGTCAGTCTACTGCACAAGCTAATTGTAAACTTCTACTGTATAAATCAAGACACAGGGGCTGGGAAGGTGGCTCAGTGGTAGAGCGCTTGCCTTGCATGCATGAGGCCCTGGGTTCAATTCCTCAGCACCACATAAGCAAAAAGAAAAAAGCCGGAAGTGGCGCTGTGGCTCAAGTGGTAGAGCGCTAGCCTTGAGCTAAAGAACTGAGTGACAGTGCCCAGGCCCACGAAAAAGACACAATACTTTTACAGAACATGAAAAACTGAGTCAAATCTTTCAAACAATTCAAACCATTCCTCACCCCCCCCCCAAAAAAATCCCTAATTTTCTTGATATTTCAAGTGAAAATATTTTAGTCAACTAACTAAGCTTAAAAGTTACCTCAATCTTCCCTTTACCTGGAGAACATGCATGATCACAGGGCCCCACTCTACTGCCCAACTGAGGATCCAGAAAGAATACCAAAAACTTAGTTGAAACTTGGGGGAACCTTTGAGGCTTCCATTCCAAATTGTCACCATATTCTAAATCTTATGTTTAAAAAAGTTACATAATTTCACAATGACTCTGTCTAAGCAAGACTGAAAATATCACTTACATTTTTTTTTTTTTTTTTTGGTCCGGTCATGGGCCTGAACTCTGGGCCTGAGTGCTGTCCCTCAGCTCTTCAGCTCAAGGCTAGCACTCTACCACTTGAGCCACAGCACCACTTCCGGCTTTTTTCTTTTTGCTTATGTGGTGCTGGGGATTCGAACCCAGGGCCTCATGCATGCAAGGCAAGCACTCTACCACTGAGCCACCTTCCCAGCCCATCACTTACATTTTTAATTAATCGTAGTGCCCTTTTCTCCATTGTGAAGCTGTCCCTTTGTTCTCTAAGTAATCCAATAGCAATAATAACTGTCATGATAAATAGTGCTCTGCCTCATAGAAAATACACATACACATGTGCACACACCTTCAGATATACACTCACTTTATATTTGATTATACTCTGGTGTCCGTTGTATATGCAATGAGATAGCAGATGCATGTTAGCTGATGCCATTCACATATTCAACCAGCTAACAATACACTGCCAACCCATCACACACAGGTAGTCAGTGCACTCCAATCACAAGAGGAATTTACCCAGAAGCAAGTGGCAGGGTCGTTGTGGCTGCTGACTTGGTCCAAAGCAGCCAGCTAACAACACACTGCCTACCTGACTCGGGTCATTGCTGCCTTCCATGGTCATGAAGTTCTCAAGCTAAGTTTGAAATGTGGAACCCAGTGGCCAAACTGTAATCTTAATGGGTACATTATAGAACATTTATAGGCAAACTTGTTTCCACAAAACTACAAGATATAAGCTGGGTGCCAGTGGCTCAAGCCTGTAATCCTAGCTACTCAGGAGGCTGAGATCTGAGGATCACAATTCAAAACTAGCCCAGTCAGGAAACCACCAGAAAACCAGAAGTGGTACTGTAGCTCAAATGGTAGAGTGCTTGCCTTGAGCAGTTCAAGCCCCATGACCAACCAAAAAAAAAAAAAAAAAAAAACTACAAGATATAAAGTCAGTATTCACAAAACATAAAAATTTGGGAAAAAATAAACTTCTAGCATACTTACAAAAACTTAGGTTTTCTGAATTAAAAGTTTAAATAATAATAAACTTACACTGCTGTAGTTATATAACTATAGTTCTTCAAATTACCTCTATTTATTGACACAAAGGTCAATTGTCTGTTTTAGGAAGCATAATACCTAGGAGTCATGGTAATAAATAAACTATGTACAAGATCTATAGAAAAATCAATATTTAAATAGTTTAAAGGCTTAAGTATAAGTGGGGTGCTGGTGGCTCATGTTTGCAATCCTAGCTACTCAGGAGGCTGAGATCCGAGGATGTTCAAAGCCAGACCAGGCTGGAAAGTCCATGAGATTCTTATCTCCAATTAACCATAACTGGAAGTAGCTCAAAGTGATAGTGCAGCTAGCCTTGAGCAGACACGCTCAAGGACAAAGAAAGAGAGAGAAAGAAAGAAAGAAAGAGAGAGAGAGAAGGAAGGGAGGAAGGAAGGGAGGGAGGAAGGAAGGAAGGGAGGAAAGAAGGAAGGAAGGAAAGAAAGAAAGAAAGAAAGAAAGAAAGAAAGAAAGAAAGAAAGAAAGAAAGAAAGAAAGAAAGAAAGAAAGAAAGAAAGAAAGAAAGAAAGAAAAGAAAGAAGGAAAAGCTCAAGGACAACTCCTAGGCCCTGAGTTCAAGCCCCATGACCAAAAAAGAAAAGGCTTAAGTATAATTATTTTTCCCCAGTATATGGCCTTAGTCGTTGCATTCCACTATACATTCAATTCGGTATGTCACCATTTATATATATTGTAGAATATACATGATCTAGAAAAATCTAAAAACCAGTGATGAGTTTGAAACAAGAACCTAATAGACTAAAGGTAAGTGAACCAAAGAGAATGATTATGACAGATGTAGGTCGTACAAATGCTGTTTTTTGGTAATAGTTTAAGTGTGTTCAATTTTTACCCTGACTACCAAAAAAAAAAAAGTACTGCCTTGGGGCTTAGTCTTTCATTGGGAAAAGTATTCAGTTGGATCAAGTTTAACCTTGGGTTATGCCACTTCTCCTATTGTCCATAAGATGGCACTATTTTCTTTTTCTCCCGGGAAGCAAGCCACTGTGTACAATAGACTCAAGGCAAACCAGCAACTTCGGGAGACATTTTAGCAGACAGCTAGCAACTCGCGGCCGACCTGACCCATCCATGAGACAGATGACCCATGCTCTTGACAGAAACTAGAAAACACTATTCACATACAAATGATTACTATTACTTGTGAAAGTCCCTCAGCTTCTTAAATTTGTTTAGTACATAATTCGATTCTGTGCTTACACATATTGACTTCTTTGTTTTTTATTGTAGAAATACTGTGCAGAGGGGCTACAGTTACTTGAGTAAGGTAATAAGTCCATTTCCTATCGAGCATTGTTACCTCCTCCTTTGTTTTTCCCCTACCATCCCTTCCATCCCACCTCCCCAACTTCTCCCTCTCCCCCACCATTGACTTCTTTTAATTCTATTTTCCGACCAGTTCAGACTTCCTCCAAATGCTTTCGTTAGCAAAAGGTCAGAACGAAGACACGAAAGCCAGAGCACGTCCTGCACACTCACCTCGGGGGGACCGCGGGCTCTCGGCTGCTTCAGGTCTTTGGAGAACACCTTCATGACATTCTCCTTTGAAAAGACAACACATTGAGAGAGACTGTTTATGGAAATCATCGGGTATTTTTCCCTCAAGAGCCTTGTCCGACCACATTCACCTCCTTTGAAACAACGAGCCACGGAGCCTGTGATCGTAGCTCCTCGGGAGGCTGAGATCCGAGGATGGCAGCTCGAAGCCAGCCTGGGCAGGTAAGTCCCTGAACCTCATCTCCAAATAACCACCCAAAAAGCTGGAGATGGAGCCGTGGCTCTAGTGGCAGAACGCTAGCCTTGAGCTGGGGCAGCGCCAAGGCCCTGGGTTCAAACCCCAGGCCCGACACACACCGAAGACCAGGTTGTCGTTTGGTGCCACCTGCTGGTCCTAAACGGGTGCTGCAAACGGCGCCTTTCGAGGAAGGCGCAGGTTGTGACTGACCCACAGGATGGCTTCTTCCGTGCGGACCCTCCGCGGGGCGGAGCGCTCCAGCTTCCACTCCATCTCCGCCGGCCCTGTCTCCGCAGGGTGCTTCTGGTCCCCACTCAGGGCTAAGCCTTTAGCACCGAAGGTCAACCCCTGGAGTCTCGTCCTCGGGGACCGTCGCGTCTCCGCGGCCCCCGCGGCTCTCCCCGGAGCCAATTCCCCAGGGTACCCTTTAAAAAGCCCGCGGGGCGGCCCCCAACGCGGGAATTCCCCCGGCGGCTTGTCATTGGCCAGCGCTCTGGTGACGTCAAGCCGGGGAGGGCTTTCCCCGGAGCGCCTCGCCCGCCCCGCCCTCGGGCCCGCGGCCCCGCCCCGCCCGCCTCACCCTGGCGGAGGCGCGCGCTGCAGCGCCAAGCGTCGCCGCGGGCCGTGGCGGGCCTGGGCCGGGGCCAGCCACCGGGACTGCCAGGCCGGCGGGAGGCCAGCGGGCTGGTGGCGGGCCGAGAGGCGGGCTCTGGGACTTCACCTTTCTCTGCCTAGCCACAAACACACGTGCTGTGTTCCCCGAGGCCGTCGTCTTTGCCTCCTCCTCCAAGCGCACCCGACAGCCGCTAGGGTTCGGGCCCCGTCGGTCCTCGGCGACCATCCTGGTGTGCACGGCCCGGTGCGCAGCAGCAGCCGGTCCTCGTCGGAGCGAGCACTGACACCGCGGCTTCCCCCTCGCCTGCGCTCGCAGGTCACAGAGCCGGCGGCCCGGAGGGAGCCCGGCGGGCCAAGCCGGATGAGGCCGGGCGCCGCTGGCTCACGCCTGGAATCTAGCTACTCAGGAGGCTGAGATCTCAGGATCCCGGTTCAAAGCCAGCCAGACTCAAACACCGGAAGTGGCGCTGTGGCCCAAAGAGCACTAGCTTTGAGCAAAAGAGCTCCGGGACAGCACCCAGGCCCTGAGTTCAAGTCCCAAACACGACCCAAAAAAGGAGGCGGGGATGGGGGGTAAGGGGAGGTGGCAGAAGGCCAGAACAGCCTTAGCTGCCATCCCAACTGCCATAAGGGGCCATATTAGCAACAAGATTTTCCCTTGCCACCCACCCCACCCACCGCCATTTGAGACTAGATGTCACATCGCCCTAACACAGCATGCATGATTTAAAATGCGTTTGTCTAGCTAAGGGTTCTACATACTCAAAAGACACTCAAGCTCACTCCATTGCTTTCCTTGATTATGAAAGGGGAGAAAGGTATCAAAGCTAAGATCCAATCTTTGACTCCTTTCCCATAACAAAAAATTATGGGAAACTGTTGCACAGGATTAACTTCATCTTAAAATGATATTTATCAACATGCTTGATAGTCAAATAACTCTTAGATTAAAAGATGTTTCACCCGCAAGAATTCTACCTCCTTTATAGTGCATTTACAGGAGTGCTCATCCCAAGTTCAAGTTCCAACAAATCCTTCCAGCAAACATGTAGGTTAAGTAAAATAAAGTGAACCATCTTTGGATGAGTCAGATACACTAATTTAAGTGATCAGTTTTGCAAATGTCAACCCAAATTAGCAGTCCGTTGGAAAGATCCAACACTATGGCCTACCTATCTATGTAAGGGGAAATATTTCTTAAACATGACATCACAACTTTATCAAATATAGTTTAGGAACGATGAATGTCTTCATTCCAATTTTCATGTACTTGTAATGATCTTCAAAATACAGGGTTTGCAGGAGGAGGTGTCACAAGGAGAGGGAGAGTGTGGATTTAGAAAAGGTGAGAGAAGAGTTGGACCAGCCAGGAAGAGAAAGCTGGGGGACAGTTTTCTCCACCCTCAAATTTTCCTTTGCCCCAAGAGTCCCCGCAGTTCCCCCACCAGAGGAAACTTGAGGATCTAACTTTCCCTGATGCAGATCTTTCATATATATTATATGATGTATAACCGTCCTAAGTAAAAACGTTACATCCCAGAGCACAGTGGCTCTGCCCACGCTCCCGCCTTGTCTCCAGGTATTTCACACACCCATTCAGCCCGCACGCAAGCAGTGTGGCCCCGTTAATCTTCCCACACAAAAGCGGGATCTCTCGCTGTACTCAGCGGGTTTTTGCAGCTTGCCTTTTCTACTTCCCGGTATCCGCGATTGTTTTTCCAGAAATGCACCCCGGGAGAGCTCCCCATCCTCAACGACAACGGCTGCTTGGCGCGGCGCCGGCCCGCGGCAACTCCCGCCCCACCGCAGCCTGACCGGCGCCCGCCCGCCCGCGCCCGGGCCCGCGCCCGCGCCCGCGCCCGCCGCCCCCAGCGCCTCCTGCGCCCGGAGGATCGCGCCCCTCCCTCCCGCGCGCCGGCCCGCGCGCCTACTGGACCAGAGGGACGGTTGGAGTCCGTTTCAACTGCCCTTGGTAGCACGTGTCCTGCCAGGCGGGGTTGGAGGAGTGGGGCCAGGGGACACTTGGGGAGAGGGACCTGGGGGGGGGGGCCGATCAGCGCTACGCAGGTGAGCATTAATATAGCACCATGAGGGGGAGGGGGGGGAGCTGAGCCTCGATGTCCTGCTGGGGCGAGGAAGTAAGCCCTGAATCCGAAAGAAGAAGATTGTCCTGTTCCCCCCCCACACACACACACACCAGCACCTGCCCCAGAGGGATACTAATACACGCAGTGCGCCCCAACCCCGATCAGATAGCTCAGAATAGCAACAAGGACCTGCAGTCAGTCAGGACTCTGCCACTTCTGCTAGTATGGCTTTAAAATTAATAGTTCATGTATTTTTTTTTTCCTATTTCTGCCTGATTTCTAAGTACAAAGCTTGTCCTTCACCCACAGCCCAATTAAGGAGGATGGAGAGTCCAGTTGGTCCAGCTTTTAAAGCATGAAAAGAGATCACATTTCCTATAATGTGTTCTTTCCCTTTGCTTATCAATCAGGTACTACCCAAATAACAGTTCACCACACTTTTAAGGCAATGTAAAATCCACTCCTATAAAGATGATGCCCCCTCAAAGAAGAGTTGGCTCAGATGCTGTAGACTTGAAAATCTCGCTTTCACGTGATATTCTCTCAACACTTCAAACACAACCATGGCACCAGTGGCTCATGTTTGTGCTGCTGGCCACTCAGGAGGCTGAGATCTGAGATTTAAGGTTCAAAACCAGCCCAGGCAGAAAAGTCTGTAAGAATCATATCTCCAATTAAACAGCAAACGACCAGAAGCAGAGGGAGTAGCTCAACTGGTAAAGTGTCAGCTTTGAGAGAGAAAGCTAAGAGACAGTGTGCAGGCTGAGTTCAAGCTCAAGAACCAGTACAATAAGAATATAATTTTTTAAATGAAGCCAAACACAGGTGGCTCACACTTGTAATCCTAACTACTCAGGAGGCTGAGATTTGAGGGTCACAATTTGGAAGCTGCAAGTGGCACTGTGGCTCAAGTGGTAGAGCGCTACGCTTGACCAAAAGAAGCTCAGGGACAGCACCCAGGCCCTGAGTTCAAGTCCCAAAAACAAACCAAAAAGGAAATTTAAAAAAAAGAATGCACAACATGGAGAACCTTTCCAATTCCCATTCTGTCATTTCTTCATTACTACCCCGTTGCCCATTCCACTGTCTTTCTGGCAGAGCATAGTCAAAAATCAAGTCTTCAAGGCTTTACCTTTCTGTATGCCAAGTTTAGGTATACGACAATCATCTCCTTTGTCATCAGTGCATGTTAAGTGTGCCATCCTCCTGAGCGATAGCACTAACCTAACTTCTAACAAAACCTTCAGTGTCTGTCTTCTCTCCATTTGACACCTTCTCTCCATGGTGTCCAGAGAGTACCATGGAATAAGTATTACTTATTTTTTTGCTTACCAGACATGCTGATGCCTTCTCAAATCCTATAATGGATTAATTGAATAATGGAAAATAAGTTTAAAGCAGACAGTATGGCCAAAAACACAAATGATAAGCCTACCATATTGGGCAATGGGCTGCTATCATAAAATAAAAAAATACTCTTCATGTAATTTTTGAAGGTCAAAATTAGAATATACTTAAGAGCCTGCATGTTGTAATCATTTCTACATGGAACCAAGTCATGTTTAACTTATGTTGTACTTCATTTATAAAAAACATTGAAAAATGAAGCGCTATATTATGGATTAAAAATGTAAAGATCTAACATATTATGTTCAAATTATATTTTAAAGGTAATATTTTTTAACTTTAATTTTTTTTTAAAAATACAACTAAAACAAATTGAGAAAGTAGCTAACATGTCCATGAAGAAATAACTTCATTTAGTCAAATTTCCCTATTCTGGAAGTAGAAGTGTGTCTCAAGTGGCAGCTGTGTGAAAAAAAAAAAGGCCGAGAGTACAAGCTCTTTCCAGGCACTGGTGGTTCATGCCTGTAGTCCTAGCCACTCAGGAGGCTGACATCTGAGGATCCCCATTAGAAATCAGCCTGAGCAGGAAACATCCATGAGATTCTTGTCTTCAATTAACCACCAGAATACTGGAAGTGGTGCTGTGGCTCAAAGTGATAGAGAGCTAGCCCTGAGTGGAAAAGCTCAGGGATATCACTCAAGCCTTGAGTTCAACCCGTATGACTAACAACAAAAGTGCAAGCCCCTGAGACCGCAGCCAGACTGGAAGAGAGCAGGCACTGTCTTGACAATGGATTAGACTAAACACTGTCATAATTACACCTGACCTTTAGGGATGACCTTGTCCCTCCAACAAGGATGCATTGCTTAAAATGAACACCTTTCTCTCCTGAAGGTGGCGCTGTGAACACGGAAAGTAATTGATTCTGTAAGTAATTGAATTCTTTTTTTTTTTTAATTTAATTTTATTTGTGAACATACTGTACAGAGGAGTTACAGTTACATGGGCAGGATAATGCGTACATTTCTTACCAAGCATTGCAGCCTCCTCCTTTGTTTACCCTTCACATCCCTTCCCAGCCTCCCCCCTCCCCCCCTAATCCCAATCCTTCTCCTTCCCCCCCCCCCCTCCCCCCGCACCAACGTTGTAAAGCTCGTTTTGGACATGACAACTTGTACTTCTCATTGTTGCAACAGGTCCACCTGTATCCTTAAACAAGTGGT